ATATATATATATATATACCACAGACACAGAAAAAAATATGAAATATCTTTGGATGGCAAATGATTTGCCATCCAGAGTTGACTTGAATTTGCATATATACAGTTTTTCCTTAATTTTTACATTTTCTACAATGGACATATATTACTTTTGAAACTGAGAAAAAAATAATTCTAAAAGAAGTGGTTTTGACAAGACAATAGTGTGGTGAAGGCTGTGAGTGGGAGGGGCTTAGTGGGTGGAGGGGGTAAATGGGGGGTGGTGGGAAGGGGACATATAATACTTTCAACAATAAAAATAAATATAAAAATACAGATTTTAAAACCCTTTCAAACAAAAAATATTTTGAAAATTAAATAAGTGGATGCCATAATTAATACATGAAGAAAAAGTTTAAATGAGAGTTTAAATAATTAATATGTTTGGTAGACAGCAGTACATGATTTCCGTTTGAAAAGGAGGAAAATAACAATACAAGAGAGATAAATAAGAGTGAGGATAAAGCTTCCCTTTTAAGATGTCAGTGAGAGGTAGGATATATTACAAAATTGAAGAAAATTCTCAAGGGAATAAATAAAGCTGGGTGCTATATTGTGTAAAGAGACTTTAAATCTGTATAGATTACCGTGGTAAAGTTACATAGCATAACAAAAATTCATTTCTGTAGAATATAGATATTTTTTATCTTTAAATTCTTTATTAGTTAAGGTATTACAAATGTGTCCTCATCCCTTCCATTAACCCCCATCCTCCCCACCCCGACTCATGCTCTCATCCCCCTGTTGTCCATGTCCATTGGTTTGGCTTATATGCATGCATACAAGTCCTTTGGTTGATCTCTTCCCCTTACCCCCACCCTCCCCTACTTTCCCTCTGGGGATTAATAGTCTGATTGCTGTTTCTCTATTTCTTTAAAATAGATATTTTAAAGGTAAATCAATAACAGAACAAATAATTTTAATAGTCAAAGAAGAAAAGAGATAAACCTGTATTGTCAGGGTCAAGGAGGCAAGGGAACAAAGAAAGGGTAAAGTAAGAAAAAATAAAAATGTTTAAGATCAAGAATAAGAAAAGAGGAGCCTTTAGGAACACAAAGGAGCAGATTACAGCATCAATTCAGGATACTCAACTCATTACTGTTCAATCAGTTCATTCAACAATCAATATTGTACACTTACTGTGTGCCAGGAACATGGCTAGGTTCTAAGCCTGGTGCCCAATTACACTAACTCCAACTCTTATTTTTGAATGTTTATCATTTGTGCATGTTCCAGGCACTGATATGACCAAGACGAATAAGGTATGGCTTCAAGAACAACCCAAAAGAATAATTTGAATACTGAAGGAGTTTCATATTTTGAACCGATTGATAATTAAAGGAGGAAATATAATGCATAGAAGTAGTGGGAGGCCCATATAAGAATTTATGGGCAAATAATTTGGTAGGTTGTTTATTGGTAGGCTCAAATGAAGGGAGGATAAGCTGGGAGGTATGTCATGTTTGCATTATGAAACTTATTTTTACAGAAAATCATTGTTTTTTTATATATATATCATGTTTAAAAAGATAAATTTTTTTTTGTTTTGTTTTTTTTTTTGTAAATGAGACAATTTGGGTTCATGGGAGAAAAAGGGGATCAGACAAGGATGGAGGAAATCTATCTGTGTAGGTGGCATTGGGTATATGAACCCAAAAGCTTGAAACTATTATACTAAAGAAATACTACATAGGATGGTAATGAGATTTCTCCACAAAAAGGGATAGCAGTACTAGTGCTGGGTATGATTTTCTTACATACAATAAGATCGACATGATAAAAAATAAAAAGAAGCAAAGATATAAAAAATCCAAAGACCAGGAATATGAAGTTGGTTGGCATTCAGAAAATAGGGCCAAAATCTATAAAAATGAGGGAAAGACGTGTCATCACATAAAGACATCAAGTGCAAGAAGGCCAGTGAGAATGTGTGCTGTGCTCATAAGAAGGAAACAAATGTTAAAAAGAAATTAAAAGGTGCCCTGACCGGTTTGGCTTAGTGGATACAGCATCGCCCTGCAGACTCAAGGGTCCCAGGTTCGATTCCGGTCATGGGCATGCACCTTGGTTGCGGGCACATACCCAGTAGGGGGTGTGCAGGAGGTAGCTGATTGATGTTTCTCTCTCATCGATTTTTCAAACTCTCTATCCCTTTCCCTTCCTCTCTGTAAAAAATCAATAAAATATAGATTTTAAAAGAAAGAAATTAAAAGGTAAAAATGAATTCTACTGAAAAGAATATAAATACATGAGGGACTTGCATAATACCATCTAAAGACCAAGAATGACAGTTTTCTTACATATGACTTATATTCAGCACTCTATATACAGTGCACAATTATGCTGATGGAGAAGTTTTTATAGTTCTTTGGAACAATAGGAACATTTTAAGGCAGCTTCTGCACCTGCTGCTAGAAGGAAGGCTAGGAATTCTAAACTTAGTTTTACCATTGGAGTTTCCACTCTAGGATAGTAGGTCACTATCTAGGTACTAGGATGCAGCAACACTGGTGCCCGAGCTTTGAATTCACCTGTCCAGTTAGATCTCCTACTCAAGACAAAAATATCCAAACCAGAAACCTATTAAGATGGCTATCAGGTAAAAGGTGCTATGGGCAGGTTTCATTATCTAATTATACAGTAGAGAGCTATACTTATAAATTAAAAACAATGTATACCTGAGAAGTAAAACACTCAGCAAGTTTAAAGACAGAAAAGAGAAAGCAGAGGTTACTCCCATTCTCATTTCCCTTGAAAACCAGGAGTAAAATGCAAGGTCCCAGGCAGGAGAGTTAACAGGACTCCAAGGCAATACTGTAGGAAGTGTGAATACAGAAATGAGAATCAAAATACAACAGCCCTTCACTGCAGACCTCCGTGGAACTGGGGGGCTACTTAGTGAAGAGAGGTGATTACAATAAGTGAACTACAATCTTTTGCAAGGGGTTAATTAGGAAAAGAGGAAAACTATAGCTTTCCTCTTTAGGATTTGGGGTATAAAAATTCTCTGGGATAATTAAAATCAAGAAACATACAAATTGATAAGAATCAGAAGAATCTGTCAAGGCCATGTCTGGTATCTCTTGAATTCTTCTCTTTGTGCTTTAACAAAACCAGCAGGGGAGTAATCTTGCCCCCACCTTAGAGACAGAACAGCTGAAGCACAGGGGACTTAGTAAGAATTCTCCACGTCTCTTGACATTTAATGATTACCTTTGAGGCACAAATACTTGAAGGGCCAGGAATTGGTATATGGACTTGACTTCTGTTCTGCCCTTTTGGCTGAATTTACTTTGGATAGTATTATTGTCCAGAATAGCACACACAGTACTTTATGGACAATTTGGGTGATTTAACTGTGTATTACATTGAACGTTGGTATTTTAGAATCTGACAGCCCATCTTGAGGGTAATACATGACTACACTTTACATCTTCTGCCAACAATTGTTCCCCTAGCCTTGGACTTTCTGGAGTAAAACAAACAAATAAACACCCCAAACAAACAATGAACCTAAGCAGACACTGCTGAAGTGATAGTTTCTTATTTTCTTTTTTTAAAGAAATATGTAGTTTTCTGAGCAGAGCAATCTGAACACCCACGTGCCCAGGCGAGCGCATCTGTCTCATCCTCCCCTTGGTGCAAGTGCGTGTAGTTGTTATATAAACCCTGGTGTGTATCTGGGTCTTGCACATTAATATCATGGAATTCTCACTGGCTCCCAAGGACTTCTGAAATTCATAGAGCTCTGCAGTAATTTACATCAGTAGGAACCATTCTCTAAGCATCAACTCATTAAAAATACATGCAAGCCTTCGTTTCCAAACATTAAAGTTAAAATCTGAAATAAAGGTGACTTTACTTGATGAACTTCTGAAAATTTTTACAAGTTTAAAGGAATGACAGACTTTACCTATTTATTTTAGAACCACTTTAGCTATCTCCCTGAAAGTCCTTTTGACATTAAAAAGCTGTAAAACTGTTCTTATCTTTGAACTGTTAGAGATTAAAGCTGGCTCTTTCAGGGAAGTCTGAAGGTGAGAAAGCAGGGAGTTGAGGGGTCTCTCCCTGGACACCTTCCACTGTTCTCTGCGAGACGCCAGCCAGCATCCATCTAGTGGGGACTGATGCTGTCCCCAGAGATCTAGCGGCTTCAGGATTATAAATACAACATTGACCAGAGCACTCCAAAATAAACATTTCCCCTTCATTTCAGAAACAAAAATGATCAAAAAAGGGGGCTCTTTACTCCTGCTCTCTAAACAGCAAAATTATCAAGTCCTAAAATATATACCCTAAAACTGGCTGATTTTTTTTTTACTTATTGATTGATTTCAAAGAGGAAGGGAGAGGGAGAGAAAGATAGACACATCAATGACAAGAGAGAATCATCCATTGGCTGCCTCCTGCACACCCCCTACTGGGGATCAAGATCACACAACTCAGGCATGTGCCCTGACCAAAATCGAACAGTGACCTTCTGGTTCATAGGTTGATGCTCAACCACTGAGCCACACCGGCTGGGCTATCACAGACTGATTTTAGTGACAGGTAACACTCCTCAATGAAAACAGTGGAATTCACTAATGACTAATAATAATTAATGTTATTAATAATTCATAATACAAAAACTTAAAGGAGCAATTTTTAAAAATCCAAATGAAAACACAGAGCCACGATTAAGTATGCTTTCCTGCAGTGCTGTGGTCAATACTCACAGTGAATTCAGGGAGCGCAGTCCTTGGAAGGCATCTGGTGCTAGTTCGGAGATCTGATTATTGCTCAGGTCGCTGAGATTAGAAATAGGGTTAGGTTATATTAAATACAATGGCAGTGAGATTTATTGCAGGAGAAAGCTATTTATTGCCTTTGTATGCTGATTTTGCACCTATCAATACATGTATATAATTTGTAACATGAAACGTCTAAAGTGTCCTACATTTTAAAACGTCACCACCCTTTTAAATCAATTATTGACTGTTTTCTTAATTATAAAAGATGCCATGTCTTATTTTTGAATATAGAGCATCTAAGATTTGACTGCACTCATGTGAATCAATATGTAAAATTAGAGAGAACCTTAAACTATTACACAGTTTAGCTATTAATATTACATACCATAGAACTAGCATCAAACAGTCCCATCACTTAATATTTAAGCTAACACCTAAATATTCATACTTAGATGGATGTCTTTGCACAGTCATGACCCGTAAAATTTTAAAAATTACACATATTCCAGAACATTTTTCACTCACATTCTTCTAAGCTTTTTATATGGTGAGAAAGCTCCAGGAGGGATGACCTTGATTGAGTTCTGTTCCAGACGTCTGCAATAAAAAAATTCATTTTTTAAATGGAAACCTGAGCTCTCAGCTATGTTTAATTCAAACCCGCGATTCATGTCAAGAAGAAAAGTTGGTTCACTTTATGAGTAATATTTTCTTTTTTTCCTAAAATATGACCATTATAGCTAATTGTTCTGTGACCTAAATGTGGAGCAAGATTGGAAAAAAAACACAATGCAATTAGAACAATAAAAAATCCTAATTTTTACGCATTACATGTCCATTAATATTTAAGACTGGACTTTGTACAAAGAGAAAGCACCTGTAGGGAATTAATTCGGGAGTACATTTTAGTAACCCTATTTCAGTAAGAGAAATATGTAGCAACACTGGGTAGATATATAACATGTTTTAGAGCTAATTATAACTCTTCCACAAAGGAAATTATTGTAGAATATTAAATCTTATAAACCGTTTATGTCCTCTACAGAAAGTGTATTATACATTGAAAAAAATTGTTATGCTCAGAAAATTAATTTTGAAGCTTCTTATGAAGCAAAATCTTAAATTCTAAATCCATAAGTACTACAGGCATTTTCAGTAAGACTGTCTGGATTCTGATTCATTATGTGAATATTTCATGTGGAAAGCACTGCAGCAAAGTGCATTAAACACAACTGAAGTATTTTTATGATGCACTAAAATCAAACAGTTGAAAATAACTCTCATATTTTCTACTCTATGGTTCTGCTATCAGAGAAAGACAAGATTCTACCCACCTGGTTATGAAAGAAAAAGAAATATATACATATTTTAAGTGTCTTTGTAAATATTTTAGTCCATCAAAAACGGTGCCTCTCAGCCTCATGTCTATCCATATACATATCCTATTAAACATTTCCAGTCCCCTTCCCCTCTTCTCTTCTGCCCTATGTCCAAGACAGCTGGCTTCTGGGAACTAGGCTTTTTGCCTATTGGCTTTTGTGTGACTTGGCCAATGAGGGGCACAGGTTGGAGACTGAGGTAGGAAGAGGGGAGAAGCCAGGATATTGTCCCCTCAGGGAAGGTTCTCAGCAGTCCTCTCCTCTCTTCCTAATTTCATCTCTGGCTGGGGCCACCTCCTGACTTAGCATAACCTCACTTTATTCTTAGGTCATTGTAGTCCTGGGGGTGAAGAGCCTTCTAATTTTGGTGTCATCTTCTAGGACTGTTAAATTCATTCCTCATGTTAAATCCCTCTACTGAAATACCTGGCATGAGCTCCACTTTCATGCCTGGATTAAATATATATATGTATATGTATATATAAATAGATGTTATATCTACTTATATATTTATAAATGAGAGTATATATAATGATTAAATGTGTCATATACATTGGTTCATTTTTATTGAATGCTGGTAATACTTTAATATATACATTATTGATTAATGAAAATCAATTCAAAACAAATAAAAGATCCCTAGGAGATTTAGTAACATTGATTAGGTATTGGTCTTTTCCGATTCCATAGCCCTTTCAAGGCATCTCAATCCTCATTGCTCTTGAACTCAATGTGGCATTTGATATCGGTAACAATCCTTCTTTCCTTGCATGTGACACTACATTCCCCTGGTTCTCACTCTACTTTTCTTTTCCTCGCCTATTGCTTTGCTTTCTAACCCCCTACACATTGAGCTATTCCTCGTTTCTGTCCCTTCCTCTCTTACACAAAAGGTAAAATCCTGTCTCTATCACCTGCACCATTAGTCAAAATTCTCCCCCTAAAAAACAGAAGTAATTCTGTTTACATTAAAGATAAATTCAAGTTTATTTATAAAATATGTAAGGAATAAAATTTAATTGCCCATAATGCACAACTAAAATTGGTGAGTTTATTTCTTATGCATGCATACTTATTATTTTCTATAATTGAAGTATTAGCATACAAAGAATTGGAGTTGTATCCTTTATAACAAATATCATATCATACATGTTTTCTTATATTATTAAAATTTTTGGAAGACATTATTTTAATGTCTTTTAATATACAATTATCAAAATGTTTTCCCAAATCATTTCCAATTATTAGCCATTTAGGTAATATTTTTACATCTTTATTCATAATACTGTTCAGTCATTTGAAGGTGACTGATACACAGCCACCTTTGGAAGCCTTACTTTATTTCCTCAGGTATGGTTAGCGGTACCTTTCCCTATACACCTGAGGGCATTCTCTTCCCAAGGGCTTTTATCTCTCTGGATTCCATTTTTTACAAATTTCTCCTCCACCAAGTTGTTGGCTCTTAAGCAGCATATTTACCCCAGAAAACCAGAAATAAACTTTATGAAGAAAATGTGGATTTGGTACCTCAATTACTAATGTAGGTTCTAACAAGGCATATTTTTCTCAAAAGTTCTAAATATAACACAGGGCATTTAAATAATTTCCCTAATACATTATAGACTAGAACATTACAAATTGATGGTTCAGAGACACTTTTTTTTTTGCTGTAATCCATTCTTATAGTTAAATTGTAAAAAGTTTAAAATGTAATCAATAAAAATAAAGTTAAAAAGAAAGCCATAGTTGGCATATTATTGATTTTAGAACTTTCTTCAAATCCAGGCCAATGAAACATTTCATTTTGTTAAAGATTTGCTCAAAAGATTATAATGCTATGATGAGAAAAAATTAAAAAGTCTTAGTGACTAGTAGATTTCATTTAACAGTCATGTAAAACAAGTTCATATAGCTACCTTTCATAAATTTCAGGTTCTTGAAAATAAGAAAACCAGGATATATTTTATAAACTATAAACCATACGTATCCCAAATGGTTTCTTTACTCCTACAAAATAGAGGGGGAAATATTTAAACCAAATTATTTAAAAAATCAATAAGAAAAATATTAAGACTTTTCAGGTGAAGGTTTCAAAAAGCAAATGAAATGTACATTTTCTATCTCTGCTGTCCTCTGATCTTCTATTTTAATAGCATAGAATCTGCTGAATTTATAAGATGCAAATATGAATCCATTGTTCCATGAATAATCAAATTAAAAACATTTAGGGTTATAAAAACAGATAGTGTAATGGCTAAAATCCACCATAATTAAGAGCCTTCCAAATGCTAGTCCTTCATAGAAAGAAAATTCATTATTTGGAATTTCAAAGTAAAAATATATTTAGAAAACTAAATAAGGGAGGGAGAAAATTCTATAAATCACATAGTGTAAGAAAACCTTTTTTAAATGTATAAAAGTAGACAGGACCTTACCATTTTCCTTTTTCTCCATAGAATGTATGTGAACAATTCTAAAACATTTAATCACTGTGTGTGTGTGTATCCATCTCTCTCTCTCTCTCTCTCTCTCTCTCTCTCTCTCTCTCTCTCTCTCTCTCCCCACCCTCTAACTCTCTCTCTATCTATCATCTATCTGTTTTATGTAAAGCAATTTGTTGCTACCACTTCATCAAAACCATAAGGAAGCTTTAGTTAGAAGCTCAATGAGATAAAAAAATGGAGACAGTTTTCTAACTGCTCCAAGCCAACAGTTTAAAATAATTTAACCAATAAAGACCTTTCCTCTCCACTCACATACATTTTTCTCTTATTCATTAATTACTGATTTTTATATGAATAAAACATGTCTTGACACTTTTAGAGTTCCCAAAGCATGAACTGCAACCAATATATGTCACCTTCTAGGGCCTAATTCAGATTATAGAAAATGAAAAAACTATCAAAATCTTACATCAGTAGAGTATTCAGTGCAGTGTCGCTGGGCAATTAAAAAGGTCCAACTAGTTCTGAAGCCACAGAGAAGATATTAAGTGATGTGAAGACACTTTAGCTCATGGTTCAATCCCCAGGCATTAGTCTCAATATCTTCAAACTAGACTATTTTGACAAACCGTACAAAATAACATTCACATGCCAACACATAAGTAGCTCTCTCTCCAAGAGACATTAATGTTTTGTATCTGTCTATACACAAAGATGACCACGTGTAGCTCAGTGATTAGAAGCTTACAGAGATTGGGATTACATTATATTTATGTCACTCATTGGCTTTCTGGACCTTGCAAAGTTACTTTGCTTCTTTGTGTCTTAGTTTCTCCTTCTGAAAAATGAGGAAAGTAAAACCTACCCTAAGTGTTTTGGGAAATAATGAGATGTAGAAGAAAATATATGGTATTTTTTTTCTTCTTGCACAAAAAAAGGGAAAAGAAAAAATATGAGAATATACATGTGTATATATGTAACCACACATGACACTTAGCATTACATAATGCCTACAATACATTTTAGTCACACACATATACACATACACATAGATTATATAATTGAATAAATCTGGTATATGATTTGATCTCTAATATAAAATAAATACATATGGTTTAAAACATGTTTTTAAACAAATAAGCAGTACAGATTTGCAGATAACTCAGTAACTATTAAACACATATACACATATATCATTCATTTATGTATACATATAAATATATATACATATATATATACACACACACACATATGTATGTATATATAGTTGCAATTTCCATGATAAACATGTTTAACATGTGGCTTAGAAACTAAAATAGTTTTGACTGGCCAATGTGGCTTGAAGTTCGATTCCCAGTCAAGGCACATGCCTGAGTTGCTGGCTCAATCCCCAGAAGGGGGTGTGCAGGAGGCAGCCGATCAATGATTCTCTCTCATCATTGATGATTCTATCTCTCCCTCTCCTTTCCTCTCTCTGAAATAAAGAAAAACATATTTTAAAAAACCTCAAAAAGTTTTTACAGCACCAGTAAAGTATGAGATTGGATTGATGGTATCTGTAACATACACAGCCCAGATGCCGATTATGCATGGCAATAAAACTGACAGTTCTTTGCAATTTCCCCATCTGCTTTTAATGTAAATGGCAAAAGCAGCTGCCAGAGCACAGAATATAGATTTGATGGGGTGAAAGGGGGTGTGGAATGACTCCAGCTTCTGAAACTGGGACTTCCCAGTGTGGCCAAAGCTCCTTAGCCTAAGGAACATCAGCCGG